ATAATAATAGTTATCATTCTTCTATTGGTTGTATACTTTTTTCTGTAGAGTGCAGGCCAATATATTGGTTGTTAGGCGTGTGTTTCAATTCATTTTTATTTTTTATTTTTTAAATACCAAAATAACCGGACCGACCAACCCATATAAACAAATACTATTTTTTATATTTTGTATGAAACTATTATTTGTTCAAATAAAATAAATAAAATGTTAGATAAAAAATATTAATGTGCAATTTACATAATGTTAACGTGCAATCAAATGATCGTTAACGTGCAATTTACATAACATTATTATGCAATTTTCATAATGTTAACTTGCAATTTACATAACGTTAATGTGCAAGTATATAAATTTTTATAAATTATAAATTTAACAAATGTATTGTAATAAATTAAAGTTTATAAAATTGCAATTGAGTCCTTTAAATATTTCAAATTCTCAAAAAAAGAGCCCCACATTGCCAAATGCAAAATCCCCTTTATCCTATTTCTTTCTGCCGGCGAAGTTCAGAGGTAGCGACTGGTTTAAGGCCGGCAAGCGAGTCCGGCGAGGTTGGCGCGGTAGGCGGTGGTGGTGGAGCTGTCGTGGTGACGGAGCTGGCATGGGCCGGTAGCGCGTGGTGGAGGTTTGTTGACGGCGACGATTGCTGTGGCCGTCGACGTTGGAACACTCGCCGTGAGCTCTGGACGACTTGCCAGAATCTGCATGGCGGCATCGGACCTGTCTCCGGTGGCGAGATGAACGGCGATCTTGTTGGAAGGCTTCTTCGGTCGACGGCGGTGACATGACCGACGGTGGTGGGATGCGTCTTCAGTCGGGCCGCGAACTGCCGGCGGGGAGAGGGGAAGGAGAGATAGAAAGCGAGAGAGGAGGGAGGATAGAGAGAAGATAGGAGAGAGGAGAGAGGAGAGAGAAACGGGAAGAAGAGAGAGAGCAGATAGAAACATGATTCTATTTAATGGGTGGGGCCCACTGATTTTGTTATTTGGTAAAATTACAACACTGCCCTTCCAGCTATTTATTTAGTCATGATATAATAATCTATTTACAGTTTTGCCATTGCAGGTTTGACCTCTTAAATCAAATTTGACTTAATTATGTCCATTGATCGTACCAATCCAATGGTCTATAATCATTTTTATTTCTTTCACTATCTACCATTCTCATATGATCTCTTCTCTCTCTCTCTATATATATATATAGAAGTGTGCTCAAATTAGAATGAATCATAGTGAAAGAAATAAGAATGAATATGCACCACTATATCTATCATATCAGTGGTCATGATTAAGTCAAATTTTACTAAATAATGGCCACTTTTAATGTTTTTGCTACAACTTTATGGTTCTGATCTTAACATGTTTAAGATTTATAGTATATAGTGGGACTCATTGGTGATTAACATGAGAGCATATTATTAGGTATTAAAACAATTATTTGTATCCTTTTATCACTTCTTAGAGACATTTAAAAGTCATATTGAAAATATATGAAACTGTAATAGGACATTTATTTATATTTGTTAAGTTGTTTGGGGACATATTTTGTGTCTCAAGAAGCGTCACAATAGATGCATTAAATATATCAACCACTAGGAGACAATTACGAATGTCACAAAAAATGATGCTAAAGACACTTTAAGTATCTCAAGAGATTTATATCAAGACACTTAAAGTGTCCCAGAAAAATACTACTTAAGACACTATAAACTATCCCAATATGATAATATCTAGACACTTGGAGTGTCCCAAAAATCAATACTAAAGCTACTTTAAGTGTCCCAAAATGTTAATATCAAGACACTCAGAATGTCCCATAAAACAATACTACAGGCACTTTAAGTGTCTCAAAATGTTAATATCAAGACACTTAGAGTGACCCAAGAGATATTACTATCTTATTTACAAAACCATCTTAAGACACTTAAATGTATTGTGAAAACATCTGGAGACGCGTACCAGTGTCTTATAAAGGTAAATAATGTGACATTTTTAGTGTCTCAAAAAAGTGTCCCGAAACTTTACGCAACACCACTTACATGAGACAGTAAGCTAAATATCCCAATAATTTTGATTCTTGTGCACCTGTCGTTGCTGTTTTTTTTCTTATTGTTTTACATTTTTTTTAATAATATATAAAATTACTTAAATGCCTTCAAAAATCAGTTTTTTTTGGCAAAACTACTTTTATATTCGTTTTAAGGGGCAATTTCATAAACCCATGTAGTTCAGGTGGTGGTTTGTATAAAAAGAGTTTATATAGTGATACGCGAAAATCATTATAGTTCAGATAGAGAAAAGTTTTTTTTCCAACTAATAATGGTGAAAGGTGAATCATGACATAAAAAACTATGTCGAGATTGAGGATGATGGGAAAAAAGTTTTGATAGTTGTAGTCGAGATTTCTTCCATGCCCATTGCAAAACCAATTCAAACCTAACACTATTTCTTTATTCAGCCCAATTCTTATTTATTGTTGGGCCCAAACATGTCTCCGTGCAATACCCAGTTATCCATTTTTAATCCCAGCCTACATTTATTTTTTTCTTGGCTCAAGTTAATCTTTTTTGGAACGATAGATTGTCCAATTTATTCTTTACTCGGCGCAACCCTTTATATTCAGCCCAAAACTCATCCTTTCTCATATCCCACGTTTCATAATGTTCAAAGCCCAAATTAAAGTATATTCCATCCATTTAAAATAAAAAATATATTATAAAAAACTAACCTCCCACTACATTTATGAAAATACAAACAACATCTATAAAAAGTACGTGAAATATGGGTATAAGAACTGCTTCCCTTGCAAACAAAATATCAACCAATACAATTTCAGTAGTTTAATGAATTCTACCACAAAACAACTACTTAAAGCATTTAAAGCAACAAACTTGACTTGTGAATTTCTGTTTGATCTTTTTAGGCAACCACCAAAACACCAGCGTCCCTTCGAAACAAACTTTAGCAAGAAACTATATGTTCAACGAATTGGAAGAAAAAGATCAACGAAACACAGAAATCTAGAAAACCTGCAAAATCAATAAAGACTCGGTCTTTGACTTGAAACGAGAAACAAGACGACTATAAATCACCAAAAGAAAATATGTTAGCTTATATTTCACCACAAAACAAACCCAGATGAAAAATGCATCCAATTCAAGATCTGAGAGGAATTACAGTTGTGAAGCAGATGACTCAAACCCTTTTTCTTTTTCTCTCATATTCATGTTTTCTTACACTTTATATTATTATTGTCCAAAACTCAGTCTTTAGGCTAGACATAATTTTATTTGAGATCGCGATGGAGAAAAAACGATAGATAGAGAGCGGGGAATAGAACTTTTGCAATTGAACAAGATGAGGAATGAAGGGATATACTGGAAGCGGGATGCTAGGACAGCCGGCAGAGGCGCGGCGCTGTTTTAGAGAATCAGTGGTGGCATAAGCGTTTGATGAAGGTGGCACGACGTCGGGAAATAAGAAGCGGTGTTGATGGCGTATATGTAGGACAAAAAAGCGGTTGAGTCTGCCAT